CTAAGTGGATTTGTGAATGTAAGATCCATTATAGAAAGCCATACAGTATTACTGTCCATTTTTTTTTTTTAAGTTCAAATTTTCTTGAAATTAAAAATTTATTTTTTTTTGTAATGCATGTCCACTTCACATAAAACGCAGGTAATATATTTTTAAGAGCACGATTATGTGGCCCGGGCCTTCACTGAGAGGAATAAAATGAGCCATAAAAGTCTACATAACTCTTTGACCTCTTTAATTTGTGTTTAGTTGGCATACACATTATCAAATCTTAGTAATCTCTTGGAATGCATTGTCAGAATTGTCTTACTAAGTATATGCATATTTTTAAAGAATTTATTATTATTTTTTTTTTTTTTTCTTTTTTAGGATGGTAAAAAGCAAAAAAAAAAATTAACTGTGAGTGATACTGTAGAAAAAAAAATCCATGATGATGTAAGTAGTCTCCTACTTTTTAGTAATAAAGAAATATGATAATTTTTTACCGAGTATAGAAAGGACAATCTATTGTGCAGAAATGACGACCTGAGAAATCACAGGAAGGATTTCTTTCTTTTCCCTTCCCACTTAGGTACTCCTAAAGTCTTAAACAAAAAAAATGCTCAGTGTTAGGAGACACAGTAATAAAAATAAAGAAATTCTGTAAGACGGACTAATTTTTATGTCAATTTAAATAATCTGTAATTTAATGTCAATTTAATGAAAATGATTCAAAACTATAAAAATGTATATATCTGAAACTTTGCATTTTTTTTGCATTTTTTAGCCAAGTTGGTGAAAATTAGTCCTCTTGAGTAATACTTATTCTCATAAAAACTTGTATAACTATATAATCAGTATCATTCTAGTTGTGTTCTTTACTATTATAATTCTCAGCAGTGGCACTATCAGGGGATGGCACAGGAGGTACATGTCCCTCCATAAGGTTTGTCATTTGTTAATTTAGTAACTGATGTTGAGCAGTTCACCCATTTCATATAATTTACTCGTAAACTGGAAAGGTAAACAATTCAAGTCACACACAAGGTGCATGACAGGATGAGTGCACAGAGATAAGAAGAAATACCAATGAAACAATACCAGTAATATAATAAGAAATTTATTATATACAAATTTATTATACCTGAAAAAATATCAATAGAAAGTTGTCACTTCATATCAAGATTCTTTCAAGAGTACGCAAAGCAGTTTTTGT